TTTGAGAATCGCTGGCCTATTATACGTAATTGAGGTTTGTTGGAATAATGGATCAACATCACATGTGCTCCGTTCTTCTATTAACTCAAGTCCGAAGAAGCTCAGCATAGTACACACGCTCTGTATATATATATATATTTATATATATATATATATATATATATATATATATATATATATATATATATATATATATATATATATATATATATATATATATATATACTAGCTGTACCCGGCCACGCGTTGCTGTGGCATAGTTTGGCTAAATGGAAATGAAAGAAAATAGAAATCGCACGTGTCTAATACAATCATTGTCTGCTCAGATATAGAGATAGTCTTTGATCCCCACCCCCACCCCTCACCCCCCACCCACCACAACTAAATCCACCTACTACCCTCTCCCTCATCAAAGGTTTTTGGAAAAGAAAGACAATGGAAATCGCACCTGTCTAATATAGTTAATGTCGCAATCATTCTCTGCACATTTATATAGAGATAGTCTGGTTTTCCAACTTTAGAACACGCACCATATAATTGTGTCTTTATATTAGTGGTCGTTTAAATGGTGCTATTGGCACGGTAACAAAAGTGGTTATTTGGTTATCACATGCTAAAGCTGTTTGTATTTTTATAGGAGACGGAAGTAAAGCTACAACTGTACTTGTAAATAACAAAGTAAGTCGTAAAAAATAGAAAAGCGGAGGTAGCGTTAGTAAAATATAAACAAATTAGGTAATGAGAACTTGAAAATCACGCGTAAAGCTCTTTAAGTTCTCTTAAATTTAAGTCATTACCCCCCCCCCCCTTCCACCCCCACCCCTCCCCACTTCCACCGACTACTGCTCTCTGCCTCTTCAAAATATTTGAAAATCATTACCTGGAGATATTTTGTTGTTGCTGTAACTGACATTGACATCCCTGTCCATCTCGACTAAAATGGGGAGCAGGAATTGTAATAGGTAGTGAATGGGGCTAGTGTAATATTTACCACATCATCCTTCAAGTACCAGTACAACTACTAAAATAATGTCACTGCTATCTGTGTTACCATCGGAGTAGACAGAGAGTCGGGAGCCAGAAGATTTGGTTCCGCATGGCTAGTGCTGTCGCCACAGACTGGTCAGGTTAGGATGTATAATTTCACTTGCCGACAGAAGAACGCCATAACCTTACCGGCGGTCTTCACATGAGAGCACTCATCATTCCAGCGCAGACAGCCCAGTCGCACACAGCTCTCGCTCGCTCGCTCAAAACCGCCCGATCAGCCACGTGTGTCTCTCGTTCGCTTGCTAACTACCCATTCGTAGCCTGATTATCGATAGCTAGATACTGGTCAGACTCGCTTGATATTCGGCTGAGTTTGGCTCGATTACGCTATCGGTTTTCGTCTGCGTTTGGGTCATTAGCGGCCCGGGAGCACATCATTTGTTGAAAAGCCAGTCGCACCAGCCACTTGTGAAACGATTGTCTCGTGAACTGCAGAGAAAAGCACGCTCGGTGTACTTTTCAGTTCACTCAACGAGCCTTGCCAGACTCTGCAGGGATTGAGCTTTCGCTACAGACCACAATTGCCTATCATTGATTTTTCTATCATGGGAAAACAACAAGCAGCCGCACCTACACCATGGAAGAGGATGGCCATACCAGCAGCATCACCGCCAGGCGCCCCTATCGCGGCGCCTCGCACACCTACGCCAACAACTGAAGCCTCCCCCATCGTGGCGCCAGCACCAGAAGCCGCCCCTATCGAGGCGCCGACACCTGAAGCCTCCCCTATCGTGGAGCCACCACCTAAAGCCGCCCCAGTCGTGGCGCAGGGACCTACCAGCACCCGCTTACCAAAGCAGCAGCCTGGAGCCCACACCACAGACATCATGCAGTGCTCACGCTGCAACAGGGCGTGGCACACCGCCGCGACCTGTCGCAGTGGCCCTATTTGTCGGTACTTCTCGGAGGCCCACGACTTCAAGGAGTTCCCGCTAGCAAAACTCGATAGCGACTTCAAAAAGCCTAAAAGAAAGCGGAAATGCAGCAACTGCTCAGGTGCACACAGTGTGAGGTACCTGGGGTGCCCATACCTTAAGAAGTGCAGGAGAGAAATGACAGCCGCCACCGCCAGAGACACATACCAGGCGCCCAGACAGCAAGAGGCAAGACCGCCGAGAAACATACCAAGAGACAGACAAAATTATAAGGCACGCTCCGCCACCATTCAAAACGATATACCGCAAATAGTCGACGAACTAAGAAGCCAAATCACAGCACTCCAGAAAGAAAGAACCACCGCGGCCGCTGAAAGAACGGAGACCCTGGAACTTATTTCCCTACTGCTAGGGGAGATCAAGGACCTAAAGACAGAAAGGCTGGCATATGCTACCCAGCAAACAAACAGACAGTCAGAAGACGCAGAAAACCTTCAAAAGACCAGAGAGCTACTCACCAGCCTCAGAGCAACCCAGGCAGAAGAAGAATTACGCCGCCAGTCCGAGAGAGAGGAGAGAAGGAAGGAGCTGGCCGAGATTACAAATGCACGGGAAGCCGCATGCCACGAAGCCGCCCAGCTAGAGAAAGCCACCGCAGAAGCCATAACAGCAGCACAAGCAGCTAAGACAGAAAGAGCCCTGCTGGAGAAAGACAGAAATGCCACAAAAAAGCCGAATACCAACAAGGCTGACAAAGGCGTCTCCACTGACAATCTAACAACGAAGCATCAGGCGCAAATGACCGAACCAGAACATGATGAAACCAACGAAGAAGACTCTGAAGAGATCCCAGTTATCACAGACACCGAACAGTCAGATGGAGAGATCATTTCCGATGAAGAATACACACAAGCAGAGCAGGAGTTTCCGACTGCCAGCAGTGCACCGCCCGAAGAACCGGCCCCGTACGTCTTCGACAAGGAACAGTTCATAAGAGACCAGGAAGATCACTATGCACTAGAGAACGGCCATATATGGAACGCAGAACAGCAAAAATGGGTCCCACTGATAACCACTCTCACCCAGAGAAACAACTGAGGAAGGCGACGACGACGCTACTAACGTAGGAGAAGCCCAAAAAAAAAAAAACCCGAGCCGCCATCTTCCAGGAAAAACCAGCCCGCCAAACGAACGACGCCAGCATGCCACCAGATCCTGACAGCAGAAGCCAGACCCCACCCATCCCGTTCCAGGCCACCCAGGCACATATGGCTGTCCTTTTCAGGACTGCCATTTCCAAATTCCAAAACCTGCAAGCCGCCCACCAAACCCACGCTGCTAACAAGATGCAACCAACGAAAGAAAACTCAGGCGAAAATCATCGCCGCAAAAGTAAGAAATCAAGCTCAGTTAGCAAATGACTCGTCCTTGAAAAAACAGGCCATCAGGCAGTTAAAAAAGGACTAAGTTTGAGATTTTTCTTTTCTTCTAACGAACGAACGATGAGAGCACTATGGTGTAACAGCCCAACCACAACTATTACTGCTGCTGCTACTTTAAGTGGGTAAAGCAGTTAATGTGACTTAAAGCTCTCTCAGTAAATAGTTCCCCCCCCCCCCCCAAATTCACCGACAACTCTTTCCCTCATTGAAGTAGTTGGGAGAAAAAAAAAAGCACTTGAAAAGCAAATGAACACAGGAAAAAACACACCATAATTAGGAAATGAACGCCATGGTAAACAGCACAGCTTAAAATTCCAACGCAGATGAAATAACTAAATCTAAATGAAAATCTATAAAATTTCAGCGTAACCATGCAATAGGAAAGTTTTAAAATGCAATCATAAGTATGCGAAATGGTCAAATTTAATTATCAAATGATTTACCCATTTACTTTTTTTTTTTTTTTTTTTTTTTTTTTTTTTTTTTTTTTTTTTTTTTAAATAGTAAGGCAACATGGCTAGTGCTGTCACCACGACAGAGCAGATGAGGCTATTATTTTAGTCCGGGGTAAAAAAAAATTAACTACTGCGGATTCGAACCCAGGTCTCCCGCACAGGAACCCAGTGTTCTAACCATTCGACCAGCCACTTAATCGGATAAACGAAAAGAGAACTTAACTATTAGAGATGTGTGTCCCTACTACTGTGTCCTGATTAAAACACAATTCAAAACCGCAGGCAATAGTTTTCTCGTAGACAGATACTCCAGATATATTAATGAAACGGCACAACAATAGAAATCGCACGTGTCTAACACGGTTAATGAAGTTAATGTCGCAGTCAATGTTTGCGCCGACGTCGAGATAGTCCTTGATTACCCCCCCCCCCCCCCACCCCCCCCCCACCCCCAAATCGAAGGTTGTTTGGAAAAAAAAAAGAAAATAGAAATCGTGTTTAATATGGTTATTGTGGCAAATATAGAGATAGTCTTGTTTGCTGTACCTCGACCTACTCTATGTATTAGAGAAGGCGTTGGCTGCACGTAACTCGCCGTCGAATGGCGGAAGCCTTGCGTTCTGACTACGGCGGCGCATGCTCACTTACTAACGTGGCTATAATTAGAAATCACTAAAATTATAAATATTAGTTTCGAATATTATGGCTTAAATTGTGGTCACCTATCTCTAACAGTGACAGGTTGAATTTCAAACCATGATGGTTCAACATCCGGTATCAAAACAAACATATCCTGGTGTAGTGTGTGTGCGTGTTTGCATGCGCGCGTGTGTGTGTGTCTGTGTGTGTGTGCCAGCGCACGTGCGCTTGTTACAGATCTATGCTATCTACCTCTTCTCTCCTGATTTGTTAGTAGACCTGTTTCTTTTCAGTTCTTTATTTTGAGCTTACTCCCTTCCTTCTTTCTTCTTCCTTTTCTCATTTACTCCTTCATTCTCACTACTAAATTAACACAAGTTTTTATAGAATTTGTATTGCCAACGAAAGTGGGAAATTTAAAAAAAAAGCCAGCCACCTAAGATTGCTGATCAGACCCGCGTCTAGAGGTTCCCTTCGTCCACAGATAATCTTTCATGCCATGATGTCAAACTGTCCAGCATCTGTTCTCAAGGTCTCCCTCAGCCTCTCCTCTCCTCTAACTTTCCCCCGTCACGATTTACTCCAGTTTTCCTCCTGTCACGATCTACTCCAGTTTTCCTCCTGTCACGATCTACTCCAGTTTTCCTCCTGTCACGATCTACTCCAGTTTTCCTCCTGTCACGATTTACTCCAATTTTCCTCCTGTCACGATCTACCCCAGTTTTCCTCCTGTCACGGTCTACTCCAGTTTTCCTCCTGTCACGATCTACTCCAGTTTTCCTCCTGTCACGAAATACTCCAGTTTTTCTTCTGTCACGATCTACTCCAGTTTTCCTCCTGTCACGATCTACTCCAGTTTTCCTCCTGTCATGATCTACTCCAGTTTTCCTCCTGTCACGATCTACTCCAGTTTTCCTTCTGTCACGATCTACTCCAGTTTTTCTTCTGTCACGATCTACTCCAGTTTTCCTTCTGTCACGATCTACTCCAGTTTTCCTCCTGTCACGATTTACTCCAGTTTTCCTCCTGTCACGATTTACTCCAGTTTTTCTCCTGTCACGATCTACTCCAGTTTTCATCCTGTCACGATTTACTCCAGTTTTCCTCCTGTCACGATCTACTCCAGTTTTCCTCCTGTCACGATTTACTCCAGTTTTCCTCCTGTCACGATCTACTCCAGTTTTCCCCCTTCTCGTGACCAAAGAATGTAGCTTATCTCTTTCTCTTATCTCCATAGTACGTTAATTAATTTTCCTGAGTGTTTTTTGTTCGGACATTGCTTTATTGAAAAACAGAATTGTACCTAACAGTCCTAAATGTAAACAAAATATCTACATCAGGGTTAGAATTTTCATCAAGGTGATCAGTATATCTTCTATCAGTGGCAATATACATTCCTAATATGTACAGGTCTTTCGCCTATACTAGCCAGATTACATAAAAAAAAAAAAAAAATAAAGATCCCTTTTCACGCCTTTCGGCGCATCGGGCATATGGGCAGAGCGTCCCATATTTTTACAGACCATCAGCACTCTGTGGGTAATGTGGTCAGCATTACGCCGGCTGTCTTTACTTTCCCAGGACAGCCCATCCTGGTACCCATTTTAGGCTGGGTCGACCTACGACGTCCCATACCACGATAAAAATCCACGCAGCCTGCAGTGGGTTTCGATCTCGGTATGCTGGCTTACGAGTCGGACTCGCAACGCCTTAGCCACGGACGCCGCAGCCAGCCTACATGCTCAGACTAAAAATGGCACCTCAACGCCTTCTGCTTTCTCGCGTTCGCCTGCGGTGAATACCTTTAAAAGTCATAATCGTCGTCCCTCGCTGGACTTTCGTCATGTACCAGAACTTGAGTGATGCAAGAATATCAAATTTGAATATCAGTCTGTGCAGACTGCTGGTTCCTCCCACACAGATCTAAAGACGCGCAATTTAATGGTAACAAATAACAGTTGCTTTTAAAATGTGATTTCATACTGGAGTATTTTTAATTGTCTATGTCACTTTTCATGATATGTTGACTACAAGTTTCACATGAAATGTGTGGGAGCAACCAAGATAGGAGACAAACAACCGTACCCCACATGCAACAGATTTAATAATGACGATACGTAAACAAAACACCTGGTGAAAAAAAACCTTACCAAAACAAAGCAAAAATGTTTCACGTGGGAGTAGTGTGCGTTTATTGAGCCACAACCGTTCGTTAGCCAGCAGGTGTTTACAAAACATACAGCAGCTCTATGCGAGCACGCAATACCATAACTGACTTCAGAAGTTAATACTATTTTTCACTAAGTTACTCGGCTAGTATTTGGTAAATAATTAACTGTAAAGGACCTTTTACAACGCCCTCAGCACTTAGGGCGAGGATCCTAAAGTACTTTGGGTAGATTTTTAACTCAAAAATTGTCCCGGGCAGCACCGTTAAACTACTCTTTTCGATTTCCAACTGCCAAGGGATTTTTAACGCGCACAACAATGCACACGGGCTTCCGATCTCACTACAAAGAGACAGGGGAATTACTAGAAGTCCAAGTCCACGTGAAAAAAATTTCAGCCCTTACCGGGGATTGAACCCGGAACCTCTAGCACTCGAGGCGGACACAATGCCTCGAGACCATGCAGCCCCCCCCCCCCCCCTATCTACATAAATGTGTGTGGTGTGTGTGTATTGTGTGTTTAAATTAATGAACACTTCTTTTTCTTGTTCTTCTTCTGTCTGTCTGTCTTTCTTTCTGTCTTTCTTTCTGTCTGTCTTCTGTCTTCTGTCTGTCTTTCTTTCTTTCTTTCTTTCTGTTTCTTTCTGTCTGTCTGTCTGTCTGTCTGTCTGTCTGTCTGTCTGTCTGTCTTTCTGTCTTTCTGTCTGTCTGTCTGTATGAGATGACCAGATGACGCTGTAGAAGGGATCATCAGAAGTAGTAGCAGCAGCTGATCTTGTCGTAATAATAGCAGTTACAGTGGTAGTAGTAGTGGTAGTGGTGGTGGTAGTGGTGGTAGTAGTAGTGGTGGTGGTGGTGGTAAAGTGGTAGTAATAGTAGCAATAACTAGTGGTAGCAATATTACCAGTAACGGCAGTAATAGTAATAGTAGTAGCAGCAGTAGTAGTACTATTAATAGCGAAAGTAGTAGTGGTGGTGACAGTAGTAGTGGTGTTAGTGGTAGCATTAGTATTAGTAACAGCAGCAGTATTAGTAGTTTTGACACCAGTAATATCTTCGTCCATCTCCATGAGTTATTACTAGTATATTCCCGTGAGGGTTCCGAGGCGCGTTGTGTGAGGGGGCTGGGGGGGGGGTGGGGTGGTAAAACAGACCCACTGACCCTCCTAAATTATTACAAGACACGATTACTAACATGCTGCATGCCAAATTTCAACAACGTACACCGAGCGGTTACTGCAGTGTTTCCCAAACTGTTCTTAGTCACAGCGCCTTTTTTTCATTTAAAATTTCTCCACTGCGCCCTAACCTAAGTAAAAGTATTACCAATCGTATGTGAGAGATTTAAAAAAAAGTAAAACTCGTGTATTTTCGAATATTTCATGGCGCCTTTGTGAAGAGATTGCGGCTCCCCGGGGCGCCGCGGCTAACAGTTTGAGAATCACTGGGTTAATGTGTTACAGATTATTAAAGTTGGGCAAGACTTCTAGCGCAGAGTTTCAATACTGATGGTGCCAGTCAAAATCTGGTTGTATGTCCGTCTTGCCTTTCCTCTGAGTGTAGTGAGCGGGCCTGACTCTCTGGTTACACTCAGGTACCTCATTCTCTCCGGGCCATCACAATATTCTTGCTCTAGTGATTCCGTTGCTTGTTCTCGAAGGGCCTTGACCACATCTGCCTTGGCGTGTATCAGTTCACCACCCAGTGGTGCAAATCCAGCCAATCTGTCTGCCTGTTTACCACCCAACACTCCAGCATTGCCTGGAGAAAAGATCCAAAATATGCTCACTACCGTGATGGAACGGACCATAACTCCTCACTGCCACGCTTTTCGGCATAAGCAGCAAGACAAAAGAATAAAAAAGAAGAATATTTAATTATTATTTTGACAATGTTCACTACCTCGTGCTATGAAATAACAGATTATTACTACTGCATGTATTTCTTTAATTAAGTCGTTAAGCCAACTATATGCTACCAGAGTAAAATACGACCCCTTACTAAAATGAGCGCAAAATCCTAAGTGAAACGAGATGTCTTAGAAAATGTGTTCACCTTCCCGTCCCAATGTGAGACGCAATATTTTCGTTATTTTAAAGCCCCACACTGACTGTAGTTGGGGGCCCTAATATAACCTAACGGTTGAACGGGGTTTCTGGGAAGTGTGACCGGGTGATCTCCATCCGAATGGGAGCACTTTGTGTCGCGGGTGTTGGTCGCTCGTTGTACGGTCCTGATGGGGTTAAACAACATATAACATGTCTCAGAAAAACATGCTGGAGTAAATTGTCACAGTAACAAAAAGAGATACATTTGAAATGAAGATTAGAAATACAATTAATTAAAAAGCAACAGAGGAGATGGTTTGGCCAACTGACTGCCTTAGAGAGTCGCACTGAAGAATTATAATTGACACAGTCAGGGGAAACAACACCCAAATCATCCAGAGACCCTAGGGAGGCCCTTAGTTTCAGCTTGCTCGTGTCCAACCGAGCATGTATCTGCATTTTTGGACAGCATTTTTCAGCCATTAGTGCTCCAGCTTCCGTCTTACCTGAAGGACAACAATTACGCAATTTTAACTTTTGAGTCTGTTATTTTCAACTTAGACCATAGATCTTTACTTTGGATGTTGCCTCACTGTACACTTCCATCCCTCACAGTGATGGCCTCTCGGCGCTGCGTTTCTTTCTGGACAAACGCAGTAATCCAGCCATTGCCACTGAACACATCATACGTTTAGCCGAGTTGGTTCTGACAATTCTTTTGAGTTTAACGGCCAGTATATTTTGCCCAAATTAGTGGGGTGGCTATGGGCATTAACATGGGCCCTAGCTATGCCTGCCTCTTCATGGGTTTTCTGGAGTACCAGGTGTGGCAACTATACACAGGTCGAATCCCTGACGTGTATGGAAGATACATAGATGATGGGTTGGGTTTCACCTATATGTCAGTAGTGGAACTGGACAACTTCAGTATCAAACTAACTCACCAGATTTATTCCTCTTCAGCCAATTTCTTGGATCTTTCAGTTTCTATCAACCCTCGTGGTCTCACCACATCGGTCTACTATAAACCGACCGACTCCCATGCCTTTCTACTCTATGACTCCTCTCATCCTCGGTCTTGTAAGGACGCCATTCCTTTCTCTGAACTCTTGCGTCTCAGACGATTATATCAGGATGATGATGACTTTCACAATAGGGCCCAAAAAATGATGGATTTCTTCCGATCACGTGGATATCCTGAGTCAGTCTTAGAATCTGCTCATCGCCGCTCCCAGGGCATAAGTCGGGTGGATGCTTTCATCCACAGGCCTTAACAGCAGAACCTTAGACACATACTTTCCTTAACCTACCATCCTCATAACATTGCTATCAAGAACACCCTATTCCGTCATATGTCTATCCTCCTAGCGGACCCAGTAACCAACGCTGTGTTTTCAGAGACACCTCTACTGGCATATAAGCGGGACCGTAACCTCAGAGATTTACTGGTACACAGCAGAGTACGGGCACCCGCCCCAACTCATCCTAACACTAAGGCTTGCCTTAGATCTCAGTGCAACACCTGCCCATACCTACTGCATATTTCAGATGTGACTTTTCCTAAAGGCACTTTTAGCATCAAAGAGGAATTCTCCTGCACTAGTAGGAATGTCATCTATACTATCATTTGCAAACGATGCAACATTAAGTACATCGGGGAAACCGGTCTTCGCTTCGCCGACAAGTTTTGCCAGCAGCTTTATGACATCACCAACCAAACAGCCAGGCGTTTCCACTCATTTCAACAGCGCTGATCAACGTTGGACCGCTGACATTCAGGTCACGGCATTCAGATCCTGCTCATCTGACGATCGACATCGAAAAACTTTGGAAAACCGACTTATATATTTGATGGGTAACCTCTCACCCCTAGGCCCCAACACCCAACATAGCTTCATCTAAATTACTATTGCCCCTGTAACGCACCCCCCTTTCCCTTCCCACTCTACCCCACGCACGCCCATCCCACGTTGCACGTTGGTTTTCTGAGTTTCATGATATTCTCTAACTATGAGGGTT